TTTGCTTGATGCATGATCTCAGTAGGGTCTGTCTCTGCGCTCCTGACGATGATCCCTGTAAAAGAAAAGAAAATATGCATCAAGTACATGAAGCACCACACAGACTAAAGCATATTACATTTATCCTGTTATACTCACAGTAAGTGACGCTCACCTCATATCCATCTTGCCTGGGGGTCCCATGCCTCTCCTGCCCCCTCTGTCCATGGGAGGACCACCCCTGCTACCTCCTCTGAATCCGCCCCTGTCCATTCCACCACGGCCTCCTCTGAAGCCACCGCGATCTCCTACCCAGCCTCCACGCATGCCCCCCGGACCACCACGATCCATTCCCCTGCCGCCCCTCATTCCACCCCTGCCACGATCACCACCTGAATATACAGTTAAAACAAATCATGCTTTTTCTGTTACACAACACAAATCTCAGTCACAGACACTTCGAGACCAGCTGATGAGGGAAGACTGTTAATCTGCGTGTACCTGCAGGAGGGAAGGAAGGAGCTCCAAGGCCTTCAGGTTTTGGAGCTTTACATTGGTTACACTCTGTTCTCCAGGAGAAGTTTTGATTTCCACATCCACTGTAATGAGATTTGAGGTAGACAGCCAGAAACAGACATCAACATCGTTTTTATGCTTATTCAGCAGGCCTCATGTATTGCAAAATAGATGCCTCATATTTTGTTTGCTTAAACAGTTATGCATCACTCACGGGCTGGGACATTCCCAGTCTCCAGCTCTCTTCTGCACGTTGCCTCCGGGAGGCCCGTTCCAACCCATTCCACCTCGAGGGCCTCCACGAGGGGGGAAACCACCTCGCTCTCCTCCTCTTCCCATACCTGATAGCATATAATACAAAGCCATCATTACAATACAGGAACACCCTCCACTTGAAGGATTCCTGCTGGCTTGAGGATTCATCATACCTCCACGGTCACCTCTCATTGGCATTCCTCCTCTCATACCCCCCATCATGGGTTTCCGGCGAGCCATAGACACCTTTATCCTCCGGCCTTGGAACTCCTTACCTGAGGTATGAGCAGCAGGTAAATGATCGAGAACATGTTTAAAAGTGAAAAGAGCTCTTGAGTGGAACAGGCAGAATAATGTCAACCAATTGACAACTCAAGGAAATCATCTGAACGTGACCCGTCCAAGTTAAAGTTAAAGAAGAGGCATTCAACAATAAAAATTTAAGAAACCAACCATCAAAGTATTCAACAGCAGCTTTGGCAATGGCAGGCTCCTCATAGGACAGTGTGGCATCTCCCTTTGGTTTGCCAGTGTCTTTATCCGTGTAGATGTTTATGGCTGGTTGGTTTAAACGCCGATTTATCTATGACAAACAAAAATGGCTATAAAAATGGAAACTGTCACAATAGCTGAATTTTGATGATAAAAGGCTGACATTGTTATTTAGAATGAATCTAGTTATGTAGCTTCTCACCCGTATCGATCCAGAGTGTTTGAAGAAGTCGGCCATCTCTGGTAGAGTTGCATTCTCAGTGAGGCCTGTGATGTAGATGGTGCTGTTCTCAGAGTCCTGCTCTCCTGGATGCCCTGTGTTAATGAGAGAGAATCAAATTTAACACTTTCATATCCATTCAACTTGCACTAGGGTTAAAAAAAGTCACTAAAAAGTCAGTAAGACTTCTTGAAAGAAGCCTCTCATGCTACAAGGATGCATTTATTTGATAAAATATAGGTAAAACGGCAATATTTGAAATTACAATTGAAAATATTTTTCTATTTTAATATTTCAAAAATAAATTTAGCATTGTAATGGCAAAGCTGAACTTTCAGCAGCCATTACAACAGTCTCCAGTGTTACATGAGCCTTCAGAATTCATTTTAATATGCTAATATGGCACTCAAGAAACATTTATCAATATTGAAAACAGTTGTTGCTGCTTAACATTTTTGTGGAAACTTTGTGCGTTCGTGAATTTTTCCAGATTTGAATAAAAATTCGAACTGCACTAACAAATTTGAAGTCTTTTGTCACTTTTGTACAAATTACTGCATCCTACTGCAAAACAAACACCTTGTCCGTAATGTACATATATTAAAAGAGAGGGGGATCATTTACAACACATACCCATGTCACGATCCATTCCACCTCTCATGCCTTCTGGGTTTCCATGGATCAAAGAAGAGAAAGACAAGAAACACTATTAGGCGATGACATCACATCTTAAAAGCAAACCTGCCCATCTGCCAAGACAAAAAACCTGCGAGCAGCATTAAATACATTGAGAAGATATGACCATTTTCAGGATTACCCTTGACCACAATTGATTCTCAGAATGAAATGAGAAAAAAAAAAAAAATCCAGAATTAAAAAAGACGCTTCTGTCAAGGGACATGTCTCAACTTCTGAAGAAATCAAAATAAAAACCATTGACACTTTTTTTTTTGTTTTGTTTTTTTGGTTAAAAGTGGCACACCAAATGGAATCTCTTAAGGACACATAGGCGTGAATGGCCTCTAAATTAACACAAGTGGACTAGCCAATGGAATACGCTTTAAGAACTTACCACCAGGCTTATTGAAGCCCCCTCTGTCTCCAGCGATGCTAAACATGAAGATATGAAGGCGATATTCCATTTAGTCTCCAACCATAGGACTTGAGTAGGAAATGAACACAATATTTCCCACTAACTTCGCAAATGCCCCATGTGACAAATGTAAATAAATGGGCTGCATCATGACTTCTATAACATGTTATATGGTATTTAACAGTTTGGTTGCACCAATGTAAAAAGACATCCACACAGGACCAGAAATACATTGCCTTTTTGTAAACCTTTTTTAAAATGGGAAGAATTGCCAAGTTAGCTTGGTGCCTTCATGCTTAGGGCTACACCCAATATAAAATGAATGTTGAGGCAAATTTTAAATACAGCAATCCTGTTGTGGAAAAATCCCTTTAGCTACTTCAACCAGAATTAAACCAATAAAACATCAGCACTGAGCAAAACTACACTCATAAATATATAGTACAAATGACAAATGTTTACAAAGGATGATAAGCATATATATAAAAAAAGAAATCACATATGCTGGTAAAAAAAAAAAAAAAAAAAGATCCAAACATTAGCTAAATAAAAACAAAACAATCAAGAAAATTCCCCATGGTTCTTTGAGCTGTCGCCTTTGAAATGGAAAAAGGTACTTAAAGAATAAGTACAGCTGTTCTTACATCGATCTCTGATACCTGCAGCGTATAAATGTGACAAAGAATGTTAAAACAAGACCTTTGAAATGAGAATACAGTTCACAAATGCAAAAATATTTTAAGTACATGAAATTGTATAAAATTTAAATATCAGAAATGTTTAATAGCATGCTCACCGTCCCTTGAAACATGAAATCAGTTGGACCAGAAATAACTTGATTTTCCTTTTTCCTTTGGAGTCAGTGATTTCTTACTAGTTTTATGAGTTAACAAAACCAACCTACTGAAAAGTGTTCTTACCTCTGGTTACCAACAAAGTATTTAAATGTGTATGTGTCCATTAAATATTCAAGGATTCTTCTGTTCAAGGTTACTGCAACCATTTAAAAGATCAATTTTCTTTCAATGCCGAACGAACCCTTCTGCTTATATTCACCATTTTGAAACCTGATTACTTTCTGCATACTTTCAGTCGACAAAGTTCCATTCAGAATTTAAAGCCCAGTAAATAAGGATAAAACTTAAATGCCCATGATCATGTGCCACCATCTGCTGCGATAAAATGACACTGTAAACTACCCCTTTTTTAAAGAATGATGCATGTTTGCTAATTCCCCCGCCCCCCATTCAAACTCTACAGCAGTACAGATCCTCATACAGCTTTGGAAAAACCAAAATGTTGTAAATTTAGTAGGCAGCTTACTGCAACAAAAGAAATCAAAGAAATTAGTTTAATAAGAGACCTTTACACCAAACAAACTCAAATCTTTGACACAGCCACACTTGAAATAACCGTAGTAAAGTAAAGGCAAAGACCAGTAAACTGTGAGCTTTGCAAGAACAAATAAATTAATTCCTCAGTCTTAGAATAAGTATAAAAGCATTAAATGCCCCTCCAAAAATGTAATCGTAACAATAACGTTTTGCAATATGCAAGACCAAAATAAAACATCCCTGCAACAATACCTTTGTGGTATCATAGAAACCTCTACAAATCAAATAATGGTTGGATGAACTACACAAG